CTTTTCATACATACCTGATAAAACCGCCATGAGATATCAGTAGTCATCTCCTTGATGACGTTGTGGGCAACGAATTTCGACAGGGTTAATCGAACAAGCCCCTAATCGAACAACCCCCAAAACATGTCGATCCAATAAATTCCATTCATTTTCATACATTTTTTCTGGTTTCTTTCGCAGTAACAAAAGATGAAATTTCTTCTCATAGAGATAATCCTCTATCTGCATCCTCCAGTAACCAAAATTTGTGTCATTAACTTTTCGATCCCCGATACCATCACTTCGTCTCCGCCAATTGTTCTTCCTTTCAGCCTCGAATCTGGCTCTGATATCAGTTGTTGAAAAAAATTATAACAATAAAGGGAAAAAAACCTGGATCGAGAAAAATTCACAAAATAGAAAAATAGCGAAACACACAGATTTACGTGGTTCGGCAAATTGCTTACGTCCACAGAGTTGCGGAAGAGCTGCGGAGGATTTTATTATTTCGATGAAATACACCGTCGAGCGCCTTAACGTTTACAAGAAAGATGGAGGATTTTATTATTTCGATGAATTACACCGTCGAGCGCCTTAACGTTTACAAGAAAGAAAAATCTCTCTCTCTTCTTCTGTCTCCTCACCTTTCTCTCTCCTCTCTCTCTCTCCACCAAAGCCACGGAGAGAGGACAAAATAACAAAAGAAACAAGGTTTCTTTTCTTGCCTGAAAACCGAACGGAAGAAAGACAAGTAGCTTTTCTTTGCTTTTTCCCTTGCACACATCAGCCGAAGAGGAGTCGTCCTTGGAATAGCAGGTGGCAATCCATCTAATTTCTAGCCAACAAGCATTTAAATAAAAAAACCTTCTATGCCAATTAAAGGCAATGCCCAACTTTGGAAAATATCAAGGAGAAGCGGGAGAATAAATCCAAGATATATGGGAGGCGGGTGAATAATTCTTAAAGGAATTAGTGAAGTAATTAATTCAAATAACTTCCAAAAGAAAAAGTGCCTAAAGGAGCGGTGGACTAGGCTCCACATTACTTAACATTGTGAACATGTATATGAGCTACATATGAGAATGCCCCTTATTTTTTTCCATTAATAAAATCTTATTTTAGCATTGATTATTTCACTGAGATTGTTGTAGCTCACTCTACATTATTGACTTTCAGGAAGGGGTAAGAAGCACCAATGTGAATAGTCATGTGTGACATGTACAACTTTTGTATTATAGTTTTGAGAGCTTATATAGTTTGTTAAAATACGTACTTTTATTATGTTGGATTTAACAACTTTGTATAAATATATATATATTTTGGTGATATTATTTCCCACGATTCCAAATATATAAATGAATATGAAATGAAATAAATCATGTATAATTGTGGCGATTTAGTTAAACTAATTCTTTACTCGTTGGATTCTAATTTTGCAAATCATGACAAATGTTGGTGAGAATTTGGTGTGACTGAATTGTCCGTCTCTGTCGCACCGCAATTGACCCTTAAGAACGGCTAGTTGGGGTGTAACAGCCTATGGTTCAGCCCATCCCTATTTGTCTTCCATGCACAAAAGAATAACTATCATAAAGTAAATCTAAGCAAATCCTAGCTACCCCGCCGCTCCAGTTCTCACACCTCTAAATTGAAGATGATAATAGCAAGTTAAATTATCATGGATCATGGTTTTACTGAGGCAGTTAACCACAATAGTATAAAGGGATACTTTTCCAACATGGTTAAACAGCCATTAAGGTCTAGTCAGGTTCAAAATAAAATGTTATAATAAAAATTAATCGATGGTCTCCAACACAACAACAATATAATAACAGCAGGAGAAAGTATATATGCAGAAATGCATTAGTAAACATTTTTTAACTACAAAAATAATTTATGCTTTACAAAGTTTGTACAAAACTAATACATTGACGTATGGATTTTTTTTTAATGCTGGCTGTTATATTTCATATTTTTCACGTGCATTTTTTTATTTTTTATTTTCAGAATTGCTTGGCTTGAAATATTCAAGATCTTAGGAAGGGAGCATCAACTAACCGTTCCATACTTTGCAACTGATCATAAGGTGCAATCTGCAAAAGCCATAGAATTGAAGTGATCAATGATTGAATTATGAAGCCCTCATTAGATTAGAGAATCAGCTGAGAAAAAATAGAAAATCATGCATACAAAAGATTGGCCACAAAATTCTACAGTCATGATAAAAAATTATGGGAGAGAAATAGAAAAAAAAATTGGATTGGGATATCCGAATCAAAATTTAATTACAAATAGAAAAAACAATTGGATTGGGATATCCGAATCAAAATTTAATTACGATAGATAATAAAATTCTTCAATCTGAAGTGGGATAATGCAATATAAGAGTTAATTGATTCTACATGTACTGCACTCATTCCTATTCTAAATTTTTTTTGGAAATTTTGAGTTTAGAACATCCTGATCAAAATTTAGTGAGGATGAAAAATCTCAGATTTACTTTTTAAGATATATATAATACAAGAATTGATTGATTATCAATATATTGCACTTATATCAAAAATCCAAAT